AGAAAACCAGTGACAACTATGATACCTCTGGTAGGACTAAAGGATTTTGGGTAGTATTATCATTGGATATGATCCCCTTCCAGTTCTAGTGTGACAAGAACCCAAGAGTTAAAAATGCCAAGAACCCAAACCATAAGAGTCTTGTATGATGTCTTTTTATTTTTGAAAACTTCTCTTGTTCCTCTCTTTGCAAATGCCTCATACAATTGTGTGACCTATACAAGCCTACTGACAATAGAATACCTATTCAAGAACAAGTCTCTAGTTCCTTCTTGCTTAGGAGTTAGAATCAAGAGAGCTTCCATGAAATTCAACTTGACCTCTTGAACAAGTTTCAAAGAGAGATGGCAGAAATTTAAGGCAAAGTTCTTAAGGAACTTCACAAATTTTGTTAAGAACTTTCCCTCAACTTTCTATTTCTTCCTTGGCAGTGTCACATATCTTAGACCAACTTTACTCCTGTGGTTGCAATTCATGTTAATTGAGATGGATCTATTTCTGATTTAGTTCGTTAGGCTACAAATGGTCCTAATTCAACATATTGAATGGCCACCATAATCAACATTAATTAGAAAATGTTAAGGCAAAGGAAAATGATTATATATGCTCTCCTAAGGCCATTATGAAATACAATTTTTACAGTTCTCTTCTCATTCTTAAAAATGTAAGAGACTCTTACACATTGATCTTGTATCAATTGTGTAAACAATTCACAAGTTAAGAATTTTATCTCTTGTTTAAAATGATACCATCTTTTTTTTTTAATTCCAAAAACTAATCAACTATTAATCGAATATCTGTTGCATCCAAATTCATATTCTTTTCTATGCAAATCGAACTTCACTGAAATTCAACTTATTATTATTTTAAAGTTTAAATCCTATTAGAGCACTGAAGATCCTTATTCTAGTTCAAACCCTACAACCTGGAAAGAAGATGTTGCTATAGTTAGTGGATGACAATCATTTATGAGTGTAAATATTTAGCTAGTAAATTTAATTCAAAATAAGCGTATAACAGAAATCCCATGACAACTTCTTCTTAATGTAGTTAATAGGTAAGTTAATGCAGACTATATGACAACAAAGGCTAACAGCTCAGATCTTGCAACAAGTTGATTATGACTTTTTTTTCTTTACTTTGTACTCAAACTCTCAGTTGGTCAACCTAAGGGCTTTTTTTTATTCCAGGAAAGCTAATTAGAGCTTCTAAAATAAAACACAAGGAAACAAATTCTCAATTAAGTTAAAACATCATTCAGAATCCAATGAAGCCTGATAAATAGGAAGGTAGAATGTATCTAGCTGCCAATATTTGTGTCTTACACCCTCCCAGACTTCCTCTCCTAAGCAATCCTTGACAGGCAAGGGAATAAATTGTGTGGAGTAACCCAAGTTACAAAGTTCTAGGGAAACCAACTGATAGTAAACAACATGAAAGAAAGCATTACCACCACATAGGCCACTAAAGAATGAATAGATTCCTCCAGTCAACCTAAGGGCTTTCAAAAAAACTATTTATTATTTACAACCAAAAATTACAAGCCAACAACTCATCCAGGCTTAAAGTGTAGGAAAAAATAATTTGTTGCAACTAAATTAGGATACATAAACTATTCATTACTTATAGTAAGACCATTAATTTTTATCTGCACTAATTACACCCATATCCAATACCTATGTATTACCATTTGGATCCACCTAATATCCAACCCTAGAGTCAATTAAATAGTTCATAGTTGGCCTGTGATTGATTACTATGGGAGAATCCTATAATTGTAGTAATAGGTGATTTTAACTCAATCATATAATCAGTAATTTCATTCCTGGTCAATGTTAATATTGATGCAGTTGATCACCTTCATATCCACCTTTACAGGGTAAGCTGCTCAATTCAATCACCCAAGTATGTTGACTGGAAAAGAATTTTGTTGTATTAATCCCTGTTTTAAGACTTTGAAAACTTTCTCAAATTCCTTAGGTTGATTTGGGACTTGATTTTACAATGCTAGCACAAATATATAGGAAATTGGAAGCTGGCTTGGTTTGAAGGCTAAAGGTTCTTGGGATTGAAGTCATTTAGATATTTAGGTGCTCAGTTAGATAAGAGAAATTTTGCTACTTAGGAATCATTTTTGGTTATGCTGTATATATTGGTACTATCGCCAATTAGATGCATCCATTCACTAAATCACTGCATACGGTGAATGGTTCTTGCAATGCAATAGTTATCCTGTTCTACTGAAAGGTATCATTGCATAATGGTTGATTATACATTTAAAATCCTAATGTTAACAAATGTGAAACCCTAACCATTAGGAACTATTTGAGCGTGGAGAGATGTGCATTTAAATCCCTAATGCATCAATAGAATCTGGAAAAAAAAAAGTATGAGAAGTGACGATTGATTATACTTGAACATGGTGAAGAATGGAGAGTATGGATGGAAAAGGAGAACATGGTGAAGAACTTGAATGGTGAACAGTGATGTGAAGAGAAGAAGAAGAAGAAGAAAGAAGTTAAGGAAGAAAAGGAGAACATACCTGCCATGCTTCTCAGTCACGTCAGTGGGCAGAGTTTCAGTAAAATGAGGGAGGTTTCCATCGACCCCTTTCTAAAATTTTGCTGGACCTATCAGGAAGCTGAAAGCCCAAATAGACCATAAGTTTTACTCATGGCTTTTTAGATATGGACCATTTGAGCTTTTACGATCTTTTTTCAGGTCTTGTCTTCTAGTCTATTGGGCTTTCACGAGCCAAACAAGAAAGACCGATTTTGGTTTATCAGGCTTCTAAAAGCTCGTTAGATCTTCAAAAAAGACTTACTAAACAGAGTCGAAGGCTCTTGCCATTCGAGGACGAGCATCCCCTTTACTTAAAAGCCTTGAGCTTAACCTAAAGGCCAGGAAGAGGTCCCTTGAAGACTGGGAGGACTTGATATAAGTATGATGATGAAGTGCATGTATGGGAAAACAAATATAATAACACCATGATCACAAGCTATCCTCGTTGTAGTGAGAACATATTCTTGTAAAATATAGCTATTTAGTTATTATAGAATTTGTTGTTAAAAAGTGTTTAATTATATTGATGAACTCCTATGGCTTAGTTTGGAAGGAGTACAAATGCAAATATATATATATATATATAAAATGTAAAATCTTATATTTTGTATTATTTTCTATGTATTTGCATTGTATATATTTGTATTTGTACTTTTTCTGAACTGAGCCTATATTGTTGACCCTCATGTTGTAAATATGTAATTTGGAATTTGTTGAGAAATTCACTTTTCCTCGTTTCCCTTCTTTTCTATCAAACCAAACATAGTCATTTTAGGACTTGCCAAATCAAGGTGTGGAGGTAAAGACAAGAAATTCATGCTTGAGAAATTTTCCAAATGCTAATATGAGATCTTCGCCAAATTGATTGCCGGGGGAGGTGGTTTATGGAATAGTTGATCCCAGTTGGCACCTGACTATTCGGGTAATAGACTAGAGGTGTAAATTGGTTGTGCTGTGTCGTGCCCGCGGGCTGTGCCTCCCTCCGTTGGGATAATTTGGGGGGTCCGCTCGATATGGCCCACGCAGGCCTATGTTATGCCATGTCATGCTGTGGGCCGAGCCTTGGGCCAGGTTGGGTTGTAGATCAGGCTAAGCTATGAAAGGTCTATTTTAAAAGAATTTGAAAAAAATGTTTAAATTTTTATTTTATATGAATTTTGATGTATATAATTGTTTATATATACAATAATTAAATAAAATAGTATAATAAAATTGAAATATATATATTAATATATTATATATTATTATATAATTATCACATATATAATATAGCCCGATGGGTCAACCTGGCCTGGCCCGATCTAAGTCGGCATTGGACAAGATTTCAAGCCCACAGGCTCTCACGCTTGGGCCTAAAACATTGTGCCTGACCTTTTTGGGCTGGGTTCAAGCCCGACTTGAAAATGTATTATATAATCAAAATATATTTTACATAATAAAAAATATATATAATGTATTTTTTCTTTATTATTCTTCTCTTTTTTCAAGTAACAGTGAAATCTTTCATTTTTTTAAGGTTTTGAGGTCTTTTAATATAAATATAAAATAGTTTTTAATTGAATAAAAAAGGAAAAAATAGCATGGCAAAGTGTATGGGGACTGGACATGTTCACGGGCTAGGCCACGCGCGGGCTTTATTTTTATACTAACATATAACATTCATGCCCGAGCCCAAGCCTGGTTTGACTTGACCATTGGGCCTAGGTCTTAGGCCCAAGCTTGACTTTGACCCTCATATAAGGCCCGAAGTTCAGGTCCGAGCTCAAAGCCCAACTAAAAAATTGAGAAAAATGATTTTTTTTTTCTTGTTTTTACTCAATACAAAACTAATTCATTTATATTAAAAAACTGTAAAGCTAAAAGTAATGAAAAATCTCATTATAGCTTGAAAAAAAGAGAAAAGAAAAGATAATAACATATTATATGTATATATTTATTATATAAAATATATTTTTTGTTATATAATATGTTATCAAGTCGGGCTTGGGTTCAAACTGGGCTTTTTGGAGAAAGCCTGAGCCTGACTTGAAAAAATGTTGGGCTTGATGTTTTGGGCCCAAGTCTGAGCCCTAGCCCATGGGCCTAAACTCATGTTCAAACCCAACTTAGGACGGGCCAAGTCGGACTACCCAATCCATGAACACGTCTACTTAATATGTATATATCTTAAAAAATTACCCAAAATAAAAAAAACTACCCCAATTAAATATTAAAGTGCAAAGTTATGGCCTCCGCCTCTCCGGTTACTATGCAACTCACGACCCGATGACCAGCCCAACTCGACAGTTTTTTATCAGGTCAATGTTTTTGACTCAATATTAGATTTTAGCAGAACCGTATCCAGAATAGAGGCTGAATGACAATTCAAACGGTTTAACCAGTCGGGTCAACGCGGGTTGAAAACATTGGTTGAAGTGCGTGTTTGTACTCATTACAACCAAACTGGAAGTCTGGACTCTGGAATACAAAATTTATCGGTGCAAAATCAAACGAGTTTGTATTCATGAACCAGGGGGAATTTTTGCACCGGAAATAAACGCAGCTAAATCACTGTTAAGTGTTGGCACAGGCGGAGCTCCGGCCTATACTTGAGTCCAATCAAGAACAATCTGGTCCTAATGCAGAATTTTTGTATTTCTATTTCTCACCATTAACTCTGTCGTTTTATCTCTCTTCAAAATTTTCGGTTTAGAAGGAGAAGGAAGGAAGATAAATGTGGGTTTTTGTTGGTAAGCTCCAATTACTAATCACTGGTTCTGCGATGTAACATTATGAAGAGATACTTGATAACTGGAATGACAAATCTACTTTTTGTTCTGTTTCAGTAACTATTTGATAAATTATTGCTTTTTCGGGTTTCCCTCCCGTGATGTTTCTCTTGCTTAACTGCTCTAATGGTAGACATAGTTGTGAAGCTTTTTCAGGAGACCCTTTGTCTCTCCTTTGGCAAACAATATGGTAGTTCCATGAAGAATTTTCTCAATTACAAATTGGGCAACTACAGGTTTTGACAAAGACGAAATCTTAAGTACTGATTCAGTCGATTCTGGGTCTTGTAGCGTATGTGCAGCAGCTAGCCCCTATTTTGGAGGTCTTCGATCAGAAGTTAGAACTAGCTCATTAATGATTTTTTTTGTTTAGTCTTTCCATTGACTGCTGGCATGCTTTCTTCGATTCTACAAAGCAATGTTGTAGACTAGAATGATTGTGATAACCTGGCCATTGGACTTTTGATCTAGGAGGCCATTTAGCTATTCCCCATCAAATGTCTGGTTTGGTGCTTTTGTATTCCAAATATAATAGTGTATTCCTACTCCAATGGAAGGACTATATGAGTTTGATGCATCCCATATATATTGACGTTTAACAGTCAGTTACAATCTTTTGGAAGTGAAGAGATGTTGAAATGTGATTATTTATCTTTAGAATTTGAACAATTAGTCTTTCCATTGATTTTGATATCTGATAATTCAAATTTGTTTTGATTGCATTGACATGTTAATCATATATGTTATTTTTGTGATCTTATTGTTATGTAATGTGATGTAGGATTGTAGCTTTGAAGTTACTAAAATGGAAAAGGTTCCAGCTTTGTTATCGTTATGCATGGAGACAGTTATAAAAGAAATTATTTATGGTAAACTTGGATACTTGTTCCAGACTTATGAGCTTGCTTCTCTATTGTTCTGGATTTATAAACCTATTTTACTGATGTTCCCATGATGAACCAGTAAACACCCTGCTTGCTTACCCGAAAATTTTCAATTAGAACCTGATTAACATTTCAGATGCTCACAAACTAATTACTGTTCAATTTTGTTCAGGGGATCATTTTCTGCACAACATATTTGAATTGCCACTGGACTTAATTGATTGCTTATTGATGCGCTTACCACCATTGGCACTGCAAAAGTTACAAGAAGACATGTCAGTCAACTTGCAAGATTCTACGTATAAAAAGAACTGCAGTATTCTCATTTACACTTGCATTCTTCCATCAAACTTGTCCACTTTATAAAATCGAATTAGTCCATTTGCATCTCTATGGCTGCTTCAAATACACTCCATTATTTGCTCAAAAACTTCACTAATTAAATGTTAAGTACATTTAATCTGTAACCAATAAGTTCTATCTTCTGGTAACACTGGTTACTTTTTTCTGTAGATTTATGTATTTGGCCAAATTTCTTGTTTTCTAATTTCATGCACAATATATCTAACACAATCACAGTTATGGACTGATTAAACACAATAAGTTAGAAACTTTTCTTTTCTCCCTAGCCTCAACTTTGTCTTAGTTATAGTGTATCCACATCTTTCTTCAGACTTAGTAGTTATACTCTCTCTCTCTCACACACACACAAAAGGTAAAATATAAGTGTATTGTATGTCGAAGAGCTATATACACCAGAACCCATGTCCAGTAAGGCTTTGTGCGAGAGGTGAGGTTATACAAAAGCATGATTATCTATTTTACTGTATCTGAATAGATATGAAAATGAAAAAGGAATAGTGTGGGACATCTCTGAAATGCTGCTGCATCAGGAGCCCAGATCTAAGAATACCTGTTGATCTCATAAGAATTGTCCTCTGGGGATGTCTTGTTGCCAAAGGTTTGTGATATTTTGACAGAGGTTGAATAATTATTCAAAATAATTAATAACTCTTCTATAAGTTCAAACATAAATAAAATATTGAAGTTACAAAAAAAAGCAGGTTACTTTCGACAGGCAAAACTCTCACTCTCTCAGTTTACTTGACCATGCTTTTAGAGTTTGTGCTTATTTCTTGTATTTATTCACAATTTCTGCTTCTATTGAGATGAAGTTGGAAATAACTAAAAGAGATCCCTTATGGCTTGGTAAATATGAAGGAAAAAAATCATTTGGTTGATTGGGCCAAGGTGTTTCTTTTTCTGGATTAGTGCCAAAAGTGTTTTCTGCATTTGTGTAAGGACTTTTTAGAGTGATGGCCTTGACTCACATAGGCAAGTAGCTTTTAGATTTAAGTCATTTAACTTGAAGCCTTCACTATTGTGGAGTTTGGGATAGTAGCAACATTTAGTCATTCTGTGTGGATAGTAGAACAGATTGATTTCCTAATTTATTTCTGTATATACTTACTGCAAAAACAACCTCAGAACAGTAGCAGAAGTTGTCAGCCAGCTCAACAAAGCGAGTGTCCAAAATGTCTATTCCCATCCTTAAGATCGATTTATATTAAGAGGGGAATACTGAAATATATGTATAATCATATAAATGCCCTTATAAGAGAAGTATAGTGAAAAAGGGTTCAAGGCTGCATGATTAGGATTTTAGGGTAATGAATCTAACAACTCTAGGCAAAGGATAACAACAAGTATGAGGAGATTGAACTTGCTCTTTGATTCCTTGGGACCAAGAGAAATTCCTTTTGGTTAGATGAAATACACATGGTCAAACTTTTAGGAGAATCCCGTATGTTCTAAATTGGATAGATTTTTGGTAACTTCTAATTTGGAGGAGCATTAGAATGGATTGAATGGGTAGAATTTGCCAATAATAACATCTAACCATTGGTCCATTTGCCTATTTCATGGTGGTAAGGGAGGGGGGGTACCCCTTTTAGGTTTGAAAATATTTGGCTAACAAAATGGCAAGGAGTAAGATTTTGCAGGAAACTTCAAACATTGAAAGCAAAAATCAAGGAATGGAACAGAGTGCATTTTGGAAGATTGGAGGAGAAAAAGGATAGAGTGATCAATCAAATATAATAAATTGATAGAAATGAAGAATGTAATCCTTTATTTGAGGAGGAGAGAAAGAAAGACTGAGATCGGAAAAAGAATTGCAAGAAATCTTATTGAAGGAGGAAATAAGTTGGAGGCAAAAGTCTAGGGTCAGGTGGATTAGGAAGGGGGATGCAACACAATTTTATTTTATTTATCATGCAATTGCTAATGAGAGAAGAAAGAATTTTGTTTCAATCCTGGAATTGAAGAATGGGGTGATTACCCAATAGGAGGACATAACAATAGCTTTTGTGGATCACTTTAAATAAACTTATAGAAGGCCTTTAGATGGAAGATGGAATGTTGAGGGCCTAGGTTGGCCTGAGGTACGTAGGAGTTATCAGGAGATGCTGGAAAGGCTGAAGTATTCCTTGCCCAACAGCAGAACTTTTCTCTTCTTGGCCAAGACTTGGGGGAAGCAGGAAAGCAAGGATAATTTGAGGGATTGTCTGGAAGTTGGGATGGGTTGGTTTATTTTGGGTTTTTTGTGTGATGCTTTGTTGCCTTCTGTATTATCTGCTGGTTGTTTTCTAATAATTTTTCTTCTTTATTAATCTTCAAAAAAAAAAAAAAAACTGGACTCTGTGGAATGAAAGAAACAAAAGGATTTTTGAAGATAAAAAAAAAAAAATTCTGAAGCTCTGGTGGCTCTAGTGGGGAATTTAGTAGCAAATTGGGTCTGGGTGCTTCCAGACTTTGATCAAGTTAGTAGGACAGATTTGGGGGAGAATTTCTGGAATGTACTTGAAATTCAGTCATTGTAATTTGTCTCAGTTTTGTTTCAGTTCATGCTGTTTAGGTCAGAGTTGTTTTGTTTTGCAAGATAGGTGTCACCTACTGGACTGTATCTTTATTTTTATTTAATAAAATTTTCATTTTACTCTTAAAAAAAAGATGCTGGATAGAAGGTTTGACTTGGAAGAGATTAAGGCATCTGTATTTTCAATGGATAGATCAAAAGCCTCAGGCCTATGATTCACTATGGCATTTTATCATGATTGCTGGGATGTGGACAGTTCATCCTTTCCTCAACATTAAGATGGAACTCCCATCCCCTCCAAGGTGTCCTTTATGGATGGATGGTGGCATTAGAGACAAGTTAATTAAAAAGAGGTATTGACATCCCACATTCTGGTTGTGTCTTTTGCCCCCTAAGAGGGATGGAAGTACTACTTTGATCCTCAATGACAGAACTTTAGCAATTATTTTCTAGATACTAGTCACCAAACTAATGGGTCGAAAATCCTTGGGTTGGCTAGCATCAGATATTTTAGGAATTAGAGCCAAGAAAGTTGCATTAACTCCAGGGCTGACAATATGTGTATTTGAGAATTCCTTGAAGACTTCCAAAAGATCATTTTACCACTTCCCAACAATCCTGATAGAAAGCCATTGTAAATCCATCCGGGTCTAGTGCTTTAGATCTGTCCATTGAAAAAACTGCCTTTTTTATTTCCTCTTCCCCAAAATCTCTTTCTAGCCATCTTGCTACCTCCTCTAATAAGGGCCACTCTAACTCTTCTACAATCAATCTTTCACCTAAAGGTCTTCTATAAAAGGATTTGAAGTGATCTACGATATCCTAACTATCTCGTCCTGACTAGAAACCACTTCCCCATTTATCTCCAACCTAGTCAGAAAGTTCTTGCGCCTTCTGCTATTGGCCATTGCATGAAAAAATTTTGTATTCCCATACCCTTCCTTGATCCATTTTTGCCTTGATTTTTGTCTCTAGCAGATTTCCTCCCTAATTAAGTACTTCCTCCAAATCTTTTTTCAACTTCTCAATTCCCTTTCTTCCACATTAAGGTTTCTTTCAACCTCCACCTCATCCAATTCTTCAATCTGAGAGATTAGGGTAAGTTTCCTTTCTTCTATTCTTCCAAAATGTTCCCTATTCCATTCCTTTATTTAGTTCTCACACATTGCAACTTCTTATGGAACTCCACGTTTCAGTTTTTCTCTAGGATTTGTTATTCTATTTTATCTACTTGTATCATGGTACTTCCAATAGTTTGCACCACCTTTCTAAGAATTATTTACATATATTCATGGTTTATGATCCTGTTCCTTTTGCAAATAGGCCATCCGGTCAGTGCAGGGGCGATGAATCCATTAATGCCTTTTCTAGGGATGGGAGAAAACGTAAAAGGTAAAATTTCAGCATTTTTAATAAATCATTCTATGAATCTCTATATTGGAAATCACTCATCATGGAACTCATTCACAGATATGGTGACTTCAACACAGTTTGGAGGACATTATTTTACTCGCGTTGGCCTGAGGGTGTTGCACAGATCCAATCAATGGAACAGTTGACAATGCGGCCAATTAAAGGATCTGAAACAGATTATAATGATGACTGGCAGCAGCTGTATTGGGAAGCACATTTACAGAAGTATGCTAATTTGTTGAAATTAGTATAGGAAAACTATGCAGAGTTAATTTTTGTGCAACTTCTAGTCATTTTTTTCAGATACTCTTGTTGTTTTAACATGAAAAACAGTTGTCTAGATGAAGCGGCAGAGATAGCATTGCTCCCGTCTTTTGATGGATGCATTGGTGAAATAACCATTCCAGGTAATATATAAGTACCTATTTATTTATTTATTTTTTGGTTCCATCTTTTGATGGAACCATATACATATGGTTCCTATGCATTGCTCCCAATTCTGGTAGTAACCTGTGGTTTAAATTTATTTTGAAAGAGAACAATTGTTAGATCCGGCTGTAGAGAGGTAGTGTGGTCATTTTACTTTATGTTAAAGGTGTGATGTAATATTTGTTATATCCTGGTTAAGTGATGTGTCCCAAACATAAATAAGGGCACAATAGTCTTTATGCTTGAGATTAGAAACCTATAAATAATAACCTGGCCGACTAGAGAGAGTGAGTTCTCTAATTCGAACCAATCTTTATTTCTATTCCTTCTTTTCTCTTCTCTTTCTTCTAATCTTTCACTCTTTCTTTTTCTTCATTACTCTGAAACTAAAACCTATACAGATCTGAATTTTATCAAAAATAAATGGATCTATTTATTGTTGTATCAATTTGTTTATTCCTGCTTCTCTGTTTGTACTTTACCTATGCTTTTTTTTGATAGGTTACCTTACCTATTCATTTCTATTAGCTATACATGTGTATTGATCTGTTACCAATCAAAGGAACAGATAGTAAGACAAAATGACTAAGGGGGCATAAACACAAAAAGTAAGGGAAAAATTAGAACATCTGAATAACACATAACATACATGTTTTTTTGAGAAGAGGTAAAGTATTAATTCATTAAGAAAAAGAAAAAGAGACCCATGTACAACCAGAGGCTATACAATGGGAAATACAAAAAACATTAGACCATTATCCCATTTGTCATTACAATTCAAACTGAACGAGAGAACTAAGGGGAACACTATTTCTTGATAGMTGAGCAGATGACCAGGATAGCAATTTGCAACTATTTTCTGCCACACTTCCTCTTCTTGACAGCCTTTGCTTTGAAGGAGCCTTGAGTTTCTTTCCTGCCAAATCAACCAGAAAACTGCTCCTGGGAATGACAGCTTGTGGCGAAAGGAGGGAAGTTGAAACTAGTGAAGGGAGACAAGCTCACGGTGAATGACAGGAAGGCTTCAAAAGTGAGAAAGCAGAAAAAACTAAAGACAAGGAGGAAGAAGATAAAACAGAGAAGACAGCTGCAGACAAGTCGGCATTCATGGATGGGGAAGCAACCTTTGGGGACAAATGAATCACTACGGTCGAGGCTGTGGGAACTCCAAACACGGTAGGAGGCCATAGTCAGGTAGAGGCGAGGGAACCTGATGAGGTAAGGACTTCTCCCAGTTCCTTGGTTGGATCCCCCCGGGACTCCTCCTGTCTCTGTCTCTCCTTCAAGTGGAGGAATCTCTGGAGTTGAGTTCGAAGGGACTGGAAAGGTGGGATCTTTCGAAGGGGGGAGGAAGTCCGGCACAAAATGAATGAGAGAGGCGGTGGAGAAAGAAAAGGTGTATACCAGAAAGAAAACAACTAAAGAAAACGAGGAGGAGAGGGGGGCAGTTAGGGGAGGAGGACTTAAGGGGTAAGAGAGTTCACATTCAGGAAGATAGAGGAGAGACGGAAGGAGGACAGGAGTCAGAAGTAGGGAGGAGGAAGGTGGGCATAGCAGAGCTAGCAGAAAGACAGATTGAGGTAGTTAAATCTTTGGGGCTGTTTTTCCTGGGAGGAGAGGAGGTGGTGAGAAAGGGCATCAATTAGTACGAAAGGGCTAGAAGGGAGGATAAAGAAAAGAGGACGAGTGGGGGGAATTCTAAAGAAACAGGGCAAGAAGGAGAGGGAAGAAGAGCAGATTTGACGGAAGAGGAATGAAAGGTTAGTTTGAAGGGGGGAAGGTGTCTTGGGGAATGAAGCTGCTTTCCTGGAACATAAGGGGTTTGAGAGATAGGAAGAGGAGAGAAGTGGTGAGGAATTTGTTAAGAAAACACAACTCGGATGTGGCTTTGATACAAGAAACTAAGCTGGAACATTTTGAGTTAAGGATGATGAAGGAGATTTGGGGGTTGGATAGAGGGGAGTGGGCCRAACTTGATGCACTGGGTCTATCAGGTGGTTTGGTGGTTTTGTAGGACTCAAGTAGCTTGAGGAAATTGGGGAAAAGAAGGGGAGATTTTCTATTTCTATTTGCTTTTAGACAGTGGAATGGGAGCGACAATGGGGGCTGTCATGTGTGTACAGGCCTAACACAGAAGGGGAGAGAGGAGAGGTGTGGGAGGAGCTGGAAGAGGTAAGGAGAGGGTGGGGGGGAACCTTGGTGCTTGGGGGGGGGACAGCAAAAACCTTTTCTATTTGGCCTAGGCTGAATGGGAATAAGAAGGTAAATCTGCTATGGAAGAGTGATAATTGCAAAAGAGGAAATTGAAAGATGCTTTGTGGATCATTTTAAGTCAATCCTAGCATCCTTTGATGAAAACATGGCAGAATTGGAAGATTTACAGTGGGACAAAGTGCTAGAATCTGAAGTTAACCCCCTAGAAAGAGCCTTCACTATTGAGGAGATACATGAAGCAATATTCTTGATGGATAGGTCTAAAGCTCCGGGGCCGGATGGATTTTCAATGGCTTTCTATCAGGATTGTTGGGAAATTTTGAAAGATGAATTAATGGATGTATTTGTGGAGTTCTATCAAGAAAGAAAATTATCGCCTGGAGCAAATGCAACTTTTATTGCTTTAGTGCCAAAAAAGGAGGCCAAAACCCCAAAGGATTACAGACCGATAAGTCTAGTGGGTAGCTTGTATAAAATCATTGCTAAAGTCCTGGCTGGTAGGTTGAAGACTGTACTGCCCTATATTATCTCTCAAAACCCAGGAGCTTTTGTAGAGGGGAGACAAATTGTGGATCAAATCTTAGTGGCAAATGAGTGTGTGGCAGCTAAGAGAAAACAAGGTGRMAAAGGTTTGATKYGTAAATTKGACCTTGAAAAAGCTTATGATATGGTGGATTGGTCCTTCTTGTTGAATTTAATGGAAAAGATGGGGCTAGGTGAAAGATGGAGGATATGGATTAAAGAATGTATTA